AGAGACAATAAAAAAAAAACTGTCTCTTCAAAATTAATACCAATCTTAGCAACTATTGGGGCAGCAGCTGCACATGCATATTCTGGATGAGTCGTCCATATTCATGGGCACCAAAGAGGTGTTTGGCAACATGTTTTGTTCCCCCCCCCACCCCCCACCCATCAGCTAAATCTAAGTTTTGAATGCCAAGTGTGCTTTTCAAGGACATTATCTGGATTTGTGGCAGTGCCTGGAGGACTTTGGGTCTATAAAATGAAGAATGAATTACAGGGAAATACAAATACGGCATTTTCATCAGGGACAGTTACCGTATTGCCACAATATAGACGAAAACTGGAGATTTCCTGGAGATGAGCGTGCTATAAAAAAAGTGCACCACTAACCAAAAATTGGAATGAGTAAAGCAAAAAGAAATTAAAAATCATGAAAGCATCGCACTTGAGAGAGGAGGACATGTGCAGTCTTCTGCTTCCAGCCGAGCAGGCCTGTTTGCACCGCCGTCCGGGCCTAACGTGGACTTTGGTGGGGCACGTCTTTCTCAGAGCTGGGCAGTCTCAGTGTGACCTCTAGTGAGACACTGTGTGGTCAGGGAAAAGACGAGGCTGGAAGGTTTGGTTAAACACATGGAGCCAGCTGAAGAAACTTCACAAGCAGAAGAGGAAATAAACTAATTACTGAAAGGGAAGTCGAGCAGAGAGGAAGGAGAGAAGCAAAAGGAAGGGGATCAGAGAAGAGAGGAGAAAGGAAGGGAAAGTAGAAAATGAAGGACAAAAACAAGAGGAAAAGAGATTTTATAAATTCTCATTATGTACATCAAAAACCTTAAGTCAAACTACAATAAAATATGCCGTAAAAATGCTTAAAAGCAGCATACACGGGAATAGATCCAAAAAAACTGTATTTTAAAACAAGTGAGCTTGTATCAAATGGTACAAAAAAAAAAATCTAATTTATACCCTATACCATACACTACAGTAAGCAAACTATTACTCAAGACAGGCAGCAATTTTCTAAACATTATCTTTCCCTCAGTAGCTCCTTGCCCCAAATCTAATCATTAGTGATTACTTAAAAAATATGTGTGTACTGATATGCCAAGGGCGTATAGTAAAATAGAGCATTTACAGAGTAAATGAGGCTTACTCCCTGTTTGGGGATCACCATTCAAATCAGTCTGCCCATGGTACAGGTTTAGAAGCACCTGAGGCAAGTACTCACGGTCATGGTTATTTAATAACATCTCTTCCCAGGGTGACTGACAGTATAACATTCACTCACTTCAAAGAAAATTCTGCCCTGGCCCACAGAGAGGTGAAATGGTTCTCTGGCAAGCATATTCTAATAGCTGTACATTTCCCCAAACCTGGGTAATTCGACCTTGACCAGTGCTCTCTTTTACTGATCTGGCTCCCATGAGGATGCTTGCTGACAAGACCATCAGAAGCCAGGGCATCATTACTTCAGTGGAACTCTGATTAAGTCTCATGCTATCACAGTCTACTATCAATTCCAAGACTGCCGGTCCATGTGCCAATGAATCCATTGATGCCACTCCACACTCCTAACACTCCATGAAGAGTTCAGCAAAAGCGCTCATGGATTTTATTAATTCATCAGCTGTAGCCCTTCTCTTTTAATTGAGCTCTGCATGAATCCAATAAGTACTCTGAGTTAGAAGACAATAATATGAGGGAGAGAAACTGCTGTACTCAGAATCACTTCTTCCATCTGAGAGATGGCCCATGGTCCCGAGATGTCCTTTGTCTTGTTATCTCCAAGTGTGTTTTCCCTAGGAGCCTTCCCATGCAAAATATACCCCCATCAAACCTTCATACCTGCCCTACTACCCTTCATCCCAAAGCATATCCAGATAAATTATGACTTCACATTTCTATAGGTTTCTAACCAACACTTACCCATTTTTTATCTGTTTAGACCAAGATTTACAGCTTAAGCAAATGGGCATCTAAGAAGCAGTGATTGGCAGACATCTGAATAGTTGACTGTATTTAAACTATTTTGACTGTCCTAGGGCACAGAATGATGAACTCCTCTGGGCTTACATGCAGGGCTATGACAGAACACCTAGGGTCTAGTATCAGCATCCTGCAGATCCAGAAACCCAAAATTAATTAATTCATGCTTCGAGATCACAATACCTTGTGGCCTAAGGTCTGTGACACACTGCTAGTTTTTAAAAACTTTTTATAAAGAAAAGTCTAATCATAGACAAAAGTTGTTAGTACAAAGAATCTCCATGTATCCATCACTCAGTATCCAACAACCATCAACATTTTGCCATAATAGTTTCATCTATCTACTCCCCACTCCATTTTTGCCAGAATATTTTAAAAGAAATCTCAAACGTTATTCCATTTTATCTTTAAATACTTCAATATGCATCTCATAAAATAAAAACATTGCTCTTACCTAACTGTAAGACCAGTATCATTCTTCACATTCATAATTCCTTAATAATATCTAATACCCTGTCCTTATTCAAAGTTCCTTGACAGTCTATAAAAGGTCTTTTCACTGCTGCTTTGTTTGAATCAGAATCTAAACACGGGCTACTCTATTTGTTGATTATATCTCTTAAGTAGCTTTTATTTCTTTTTGTCTGTTTTAGCATGAGCAGCCTCCTTTCTCATTCTCTCTCTCTGTCATTCACAGGTTGTTAAAACCAAGTCAGCTGTTCCAAAGAATGTCCCACATTCTGGATTTGGCTGATTGCAACCTTGTGGTGGTATTTAACTTGTTGTTGTTAGCTGTTGAGTCGGCTCTGACTCAGGGTGAACCCGTGTACAACAGAACCCATGTACAACAGAACCCATGTACAACGGAGCAAAACGTTGCCCTGCGCCATCTTCATGACTGTTGGAATGCTGGAGTCCATTGTTGTGGTCACTACCGTGCAATGGTTAAGAGCCTGGCTGCTAACCAAAAGGTCTGCAGTTCCAATCCACCCGCCGCTCCTTCGAAACCCTGTGGGGCAGTTCTACTTTGTCCTATAGGGTCTCTATGAGTCAGAATCAACTCGACAGCAACGGGTTTTCTTTCCAGCGTGTAGGGCTTATCTTCTGGCACTATATTGAACAATATTCTGTTGTGATCCATATGATTTTCACTGGCTGACTTTCAGGAGTAGATTTCCAGACCTTTCTTCCCAGTCTTTCTTGGTCTGGAAGCTCCACTGAAACTTGTACACCATTGGTGACCATGCTAGTATTTGAAATAGCAGCATAGCTTCCAGCGTCATAGCAACACACGAGCCACCATGGTACAACAAATTGACAGATGGCTGGTGGGTAGTTTAACTTAAATCTCCCTTATCACTTGTAGATTGGAAATCAGACTTATAGACTTAAGTGGATTCAGGTTAAATTGTTTTTTTTGTAAGAATACCTCATAGTGACACTGTGTACTTCATATTATATCACGTCAAAAAGTATGCAAAATCTGTCTCATTTTGGTGATGCTAGGGTTCATTAGCAGATTTAGATAATGACCAACTGATTCCCCATTATAAAGTTCTCATGAACTTTTCACCAAATGGCTTTACCAACTGTTGATGATGATTGCCCAAATCAGCTATTTCACGATGATTTACTACTAATTTCCCTTCTATATTTATTAGCTAGAGATCTTCTCTTTAAAAGAACTTTTCTTCATTCTCTACAGCTATTTGGTTATCCTGGGGGTAAGAGGGGAGTTCTCACCAGAAAGGCAAAGACAAAAATAAATACTTAATTTTTTCTCCTCAATTATCACTTTCAGAGTAATGATTAAACCCTAGCAACTTCTAATAATTTATGAGTTTTGTTCTGTGTCTCCCTCTCTCTCCTTTATATATGCATGTATTTGTGTAACATGCTGAAGCATGGATTTTTCTATAGTCAGTGTATTTTAAAGAGAGTCATTCATTGGTCTTTTGTCATTGGTCTGATGCTTAAATCATCTCATCTTCTGCCAGTGGGAGCCTCTTCAAACTGCTTCCTGTGTCCTTTTGACATTATACCATTATCCCTTCATAGATTTTTTTCTGGCGTATCTTATATATTTCCTCCCCCAGGTTTGGAATCAGATGGACATATATATGCACTACATACTATATAAACCAAACCTGTTGCCGTCGAGTCAATTCCGACTCATAGCAACCCTACAGGACAGAGAAGAACTGCCCCATAGGGTTTCCAAGAAGCGGCTGGTAGATTCAAACTGCTGACCTTTTAGTTAGCAGCTAAGCTCTTAACCGCTGCACCACCAGGGCTCCGTATACTGTATGCTATATACTATATGGGAGTCCCGGAATGGCACAAATGGTTAAGCATATGGCTACTAACTGAAAGGTTGGCAGTTCAAATCCACCCACAGGCACTTCAGAAGAAAGGCCTGGCGATCTACTTCCAAAAGATCAGAACAAACAAAAAAACCTGTTGCCATAGAGTCAATTCTGACTCATAAGTCAGAATTAACTCGATGACAATGGGTTTTCAAAAGATCACAGCCATTGAAAACCCTACGGAGCACAGTTCTACTCTGAAATATGTGGGGGCACCATGAGTCAGAATCAACTTGATGGTAAATTGTTTGGTTTGGTTGTTATAGACTATATGCACTACGTACCCTATTCTGTACCTCGCTTTTTCTGCACCTAACAATATATCCTGAATATTACTCTATATCAGTGTTTGGAGATCTTCCTCATTCCTTTTTCAGCTCCAGAAGATCCCATCTTGTGGACATATTGACTTGATGGCAACAGGTTACAGGTTTACAGTCCTATATGGTTGGGTATTCTGCTTATTGCCAATCTTTGGCTATTACAAAATATTCTATATTAAATAACTTTGTGCACATGTAATTTATGTTTTCCAAGTGAGTATTTAATAAAGATTCCTAGAAGTGGTATTGCTACTCAAAGGGTAAAACTTATAGGTAGTGTTGCTAGATGATCAAATGATTAAGTCTAGTATTAATTTACACTGTTCTCTCATCAGAAAGAAGCCAACAAAATATATAACTGTGAATATTTAGGTCTTAGCAAAATTCCTGACATACTACCAAACACAACAGAAGTTTTGGAATTCGGCTTTAATTTCTTGCCTGCAATTCAAAATACGACCTTCAGCAGACTCATTAATCTTATCTTTTTGGATTTAACCAGGTATGTATCTGAGTTTCTTGTGCGCTCTTGATGTTTTACATAAGGAATAACACACCCTGGATTCAAACTGTTTCCAAGACTTTCTTTTGCGGCACAGGTACAACCTGCTTACCCTGTGTGTTATTCTTTCCCATGAAATATTTTTATGCAGGTAAAAAATAATTTAAAGAAACACCAATCAATGGAGAGGAAAGTGTATGGTTCTCAAACTAGCTGTGGCAGCAGTGCAATTCGAGAAGTCTTAAGGAATACTGATAACAAAAATTAAAATAGCTAACTGTCATACTAAATCAGATGCCATGCTGTACTACATTTTAGCATAGTTGATCATTATTGGGTGAGGATATTTGAAGAAAAATTTTTAAGAAACACACCCACATAAAATCTACTAATTTTTTTCCTATATATTGGGAAAAGAGTCCCATTACTTGACTTTAGTGGCAGATATCAGTATTTCAAACGCTGAAACAGTGTTTGAGAACCACTGGGCAGAAGTAGTACAAGAAAGTAAGGGAAGAAAACAAAAGGGATGGGTGGCTTATGGGAATGTATATGGAAGAGGGGGGAAGGGCCCTACATGTAGGTGATGTCTGAACCTCTTGTAGCAGTTCTATTTCCTCTACTTTGGTCCTTCAACTTAAGCTACTTCAGAGTGGGAAAGTGTTCATATGCAGAGTACTATTTCATCTCTATAACCACCACTGTAAGGTAAGCATGGTGAATACTATCGTTCACCTTGAGGTTAGATGAGGTTCAAGGAGGTTTTGCAAACTTGCTTTAGTTTACAGAGTAAGGAAACTAGGACTCTGATTTCCTGACCCCCCAGTCCAGAGTAAACCAAATGACCCCAGGCCACCTCCCCAACCTAGACCCACAAACAGGTGCTTAGATCACAGCCATTGAAAAAGCTGTGTCTTATATTGATGGGTATTTCTGGTTATTGCCAATCTTTTGGTGCTTAGAAACAAACAATTGAGAGAGGACTTCCCCGTTAAGACAGAGACAAATATCATTATGTTACCTACACATTATGCTGCAAGGAAATTTTCTTTTCCTCTCCTTTTCTATTCCTTATTTTTAGGTGAAACGAGTTTTTCTGCACTTTTAAGGAGTGCGTAGTAGGCCAGGATTACTCTTCTAGCGTCAGGACTCAAGAATTACCTCTTGTTTTATTTTCGAGATGTGACAAAAATATGACCACATACATTCTAAAATCCTTCTCCTCTGTTCCCTTCCTTGTCTTTTATCTGGCCACAAATTCAACCTTATTTTTTATTACTTTAATCAGTAATTGTTTCTTTAGCCTTTGCAACATGTTTTCTATTGTCTTTGCTCATTCTTCTGTCTTGATTCTCAGACCTTCCTCTCTGGAATAATTTTTCTTCTTCCTGAAGTATATTCTTAGAAGTCTTTTATTGAGAGTCTGCTAGTAGTAAATTCCCTCAGTTCTTGTTTTTCTGAAAATGTCTTTATTTCACTCTGCTTCTTGAAAGATGGTATTTTCTGACGCACACTTCCAGGTTGAAAGTCATTTTTATTAGCCCTTCAACACTATCATTCCACAGTCTTCCCTTGTTGCTATTGAGCAGTCACCTATCTATCTAATCATTATCCATATGTAGCTATGTCTTTTCTCTCTGGATGTTTTTAATATCTTTTCTTTGTCTTTGGTATTTTACAATTTCACAAGGATGCATCTATGTGTGGATTGTTGGGCTTTTTAAATATGAAATTAGTGTCTTTCAACAATTCAAAAATATTCCAGCCACCATCTGTTTGAGTGTTGGCTTGTCTCCATTCACTTTTTGATCTCTGATTAGATTTACATTCATTCATCTCACCTGTCTTTCAAATCACTTAATATTGCTTGCATATTTTCCATCTCCTTAGATTTTGGGGCTATTGTCTAGGTAATTTCCTCGTATCTACTTCTAGTTCATTAACATCATCTTCAGCTGTGTCCAATCTACTGTATAAACTATTGATTGGCTTTCTAGCTTTAATTATTAATTTTTTTCATTCCCATTAAGTTTTATTGAATTTTTTACAGATAATTCTAGTCAGTTTTGACTTTTTTTCCCCTCATCATACTTTGATTCTTATTATTTGTTTAAACATATTAGGCATATTTTTAATATATTCTGGTAGTATTTATCAGATATATCTGATAATTCTGGTATCTGCTGGCTTTGTGAGTCTGATTCTATAGATTTGTTTTCCTGATGACTCTAGGTAATGGGGTTCCCTTATGTTTTTAGTGAATTTTTACTTTGAGCACATTTCTTTTTTGGAAGTTTGTCTGCTGAAATTTTTGTTTAAAATTCTTCCTGAAATTAGATAATACCAATGAATTATTAATATTTTATGTGTGATAATGGCACTATGGAATACAAGTCCATATTTTTTGGAGCTGCATCCTGAAATAACAGGATGTCTGGGATTTGATTTAAAATAATTTAGGAGAGAGAGGTGGAAATAGATGAAGCAGGGAAGCAAATATAGAAAAATCTTGATATTATTCTATCTGGGTGATAGATATTTGAAGGCTGTTTGTACTATTATCTCTAAATTTATGTTCGAAAGATTTCCTAATAAAAAAGCAATTACACACATTGCTCCAGAAAATACTTGTATTTGCTTCTGCCAATTACCTGAAGGCACCACCATCCTGGGACCTCTTTAAACTCAGGTTTCAAAGTGGGTTTCTTTTGGGAGGTCGACATCACCATTCCTAAATTCAGTCCACAATCCTCATGAGTGGAACATTCTGGTTAGGTATTATCAGAGGAGAAATTTATTGTTTGCTCCACCCAGAGTCAAAGTCAAGACAAACATATATCCTGAAGGTCTCACTGTATGAGTTTTCTCTTTTTTTTTTTTTTTTTTTTTTTAAGTTCACCCACAGAAGGTATCCCTGTTGAGGTTCCTGGCAGTTTCCAGAGGTTTTTGATAGGACTTTCTATCCTGCTTGGGGCCCAAGTTTGTCTCCTGCCCCCGATGCATGTGGCTCATTAAAACCTGACTCTAGGCCACCAGAGATAGGCAGATATCCCCAGGACAAGGGCTAGCTCCAGGGTGCACTTGTTCCTATGGATTCAACTTTTATTTTCACAATGAGTTTCTAAGTAACTCCCTAACTGGCATCCAGAGGAGCTGAGTATTTATATATATCATGTCCAGTATTTTCAGTTGTGCAATACCAGAATGGGTTTCTCTGAACTTCTAGTGTTCCATATTTCTATAGAGCATTTTTGCACATATTGTGTTGTATCATTTTACTCAAAACAGTCCTACAAAGTAACTATTATTTCTATACATTATAGACGGAAAAAACTGAGGATGAGAAAAGTTGTGACTTGCCCAGGATATCGCAGATTCATATAGTCTATTTTACATATCATATATCATATATTACGTATTGTATATGATATTTTACACATTATTTAAGACACCAGATTTTTTTGTTTTTACCTACAATCTAACTACTAATTGTTCCCTATATCACAAACATAGGGAGAGGTAAAATATCTGAAAATAATTTCAAATCAGAGTGTTCCAAACTGAAGCTATTCATAAATTATTTAACAGGACATCTGTGGATAATAAAGAGAGTTTTTTATGTTTGACTTTGAATAATAATGTGCACTGTTTTTACTATACGCAAAAGGTGGCTTTGTAGCATATGTCATTGTGACAGTTTTGTTTCTTTTTTCTAATCTGTTATTGTTAAATATGATTATCTTTTTTCAGGTGCCAGATTAACTGGTTACATGAAGACACCTTTCAAAGCCATCATCAACTGAACACAATTGTATTGACCGGAAATCCCCTGATATTCATGGCAGAAACATCACTTAATGGGCCCAAGTCTCTGAAGCATCTCTTCTTAACCCAAACAGGAATATCTGATCTAGAGTTTATCCCAGTACACAACCTGGAAAACTTGGAAAGCTTGCATCTTGGAAGCAATCATATTACCTCCATTGAGTTCCCAACAAACTTTCCAACACAGAATCTGAAAATTCTGGATTTTCAGAATAATGCTATCCACTACCTCACTAGAAAAGACATGGACTCTCTGAAGCCAGCCACCAACCTCAGCCTTAACCTCAATAGCAATGACATTAAAGGTATTGAGCCTGGTGCTTTCCATTCAAAGATCTTCCAAAATTTGAACTTTGGAGGGACTTTTGATTTGTCTGTTATATTAAAAGGTCTGCAGAACTCTACTATTCAATCTCTCTGGCTTGGGACATTTGAAGACAAGGAGGACCAAGACCTTAGTCCAGCCATCCTTCAGGGACTTTGTGAAATGTCTGTTGAGAGCATCAACCTACAGCAGCACCATTTCTCTGACTTCTCGTCCGCCACCTTTCAGTGCTTCACCCAACTCCAGGAATTGGATCTGACAGCAACTCACTTGAAAGAGTTACCCTCTGGGATTAAGGGTATGAACTCACTCAAGAAATTAGTTCTCAATGTAAATAATTTTGACCAATTGTGTGAAATCAGTGCTGCCAGTTTCCCTTCTCTTACACACCTCTACATCAAAGGCAACAGGAAGAAACTTGACCTTGGTGCTGGCTGTTTGGAAAGACTAGAAAATCTTCAGAAGCTTGATTTAAGCCACAATGGCATAGAGGCTTCCGATTGCTGCAATCTGCAACTCAAAAACCTGCCTCACTTGCAGTGCCTAAACCTGAGCTACAATGAGCCCCTTGGACTCCAGAGTCAGGCATTTAAAGAAAGTCCTCGGCTTGAACTTCTGGATTTGGCATTTACCCACTTGCATGTTAATGTTCCACAAAGTCCTTTCCAAAACCTCCAACTCCTACAGGTTCTCAATCTCTCTTACTGCCTCCTGGATACCAGCAATCACCATCTTCTAGCAGGCCTGCCAAATCTCCGGCATCTGAATTTGCAGGGAAATCGCTTTCAAGATGGTAGCATCCCAAAGACCAACCTACTTCAAACAGTGGGCAGCTTGGAGATTCTGATTTTAGCCTCTTGTGACTTGCTCTCCATAGACCAGCAAGCGTTCCACGGCCTTGAAAAAATGTGTCATGTAGACTTAAGCCACAACAGCCTGACAGGCGATAGCATCTCTGCTCTTAGCCATCTTAAGGGAATCTATCTCAATCTGGCCGCCAACAACATTTGCATTGTTTCGCTCCATGTCCTCCCCACATTGTCCCAGCAGAGCACTATTAATTTAAGCCACAATCCCCTGGACTGCACTTGCTCTAACATTCATTTCTTAACATGGTTCAAAGAAAACCTGCACAAACTTGAAGGCTTGGAGGAGACCATGTGTGCAAACCCCCCACCTTTAAAGGGAGTTAAGCTGTCTGATGTCAAGCTGTCCTGTGGGATTACAGCTGTGGGTATTTTCTTTCTCATAGTATTTTTATTCTTGTTCACCATTCTGTTAGTTTTTTTAATTAAATTCCTTCTTAGATGGAAATACCAACACATTTAGTGCTAAAGCTTTCCAGAGAAGGCAAATAAAGGTGTTTCACAAAATTGTCCTAAGTGAAGAAACTGTCATCTGTTGCTGTCCAAACTTTTCAGACTTGTACATGGGGCTGGGCAGGGATTCACTATGCTTTTCTGAGCATCTTACCCTTGTGAGTGGCTGCTGATGAGTCTCACTGGCAGGCTAACTAGCTGGGGTCAGACGTGGCCTTGAGAGATGCAATTCATTTCCTCACGTGGAAGGTGGTAGTAGTTCGGGGTGGATTCATGGCAGGGAAAGGCAAGGAGAATAACACACTAGGAGGTCATCTTCCTTCCACTCAGGGACATCCCTTCAAGCACCTCTCACCCTGAAAGATCATCAATCCCCACAACTTGGCAGTGTTAAAGCTCTCCCACTCACTGTCTTTCACCCACCATTGAGGCATTGTGCTCAGGTCTGAGTTCTTAGTAATGGAACCATAGGGAAACTTAGTTGGAGACAAAGTCTCAGTGCTTATTTTAAATGAAAAAAGAAAAACACAATGAATTTAAAAGAAAAGGCTGGGAAATGAATCCTGCTATCAAATAGACTCCAAGAGTCTTTTTAATCCTTTGTTGTTGTTTGCCGTGGAGCCGATTCCAACTCATGGTGACCTCACATCTCTACAATACCCCCGGTGTACAAATAGCTACCAAAAAAACAAAAAGAAAAAGACACCCCTCCTGCACAGAGGTTTAGGATTTCTGCCACATTTGCTGCACTTCTTTGAGAACCAGGGAGACTCCCGTCTGTCGGCTGTTCTCCCTCTTATGTTACAGGTCCTCCCTTACAGGTGGGCTGTGGTTCAAAATGCTCTTCTCATGTGGGTATCTCGTCCTTAGAAGCCTCTTTCCCACAGGATCAGTGATATAAGCGGGGTTTGCTTCCCAGGCTGTCCCTCAAAATTCTATTTATCTCAGACAGCATTTGAGACAGCACATTTACAATGAAAACGAGCGGAAGAAAACATACCGCATGCTAGCTGTTGGCAACACAATTAAGGCTGGCTTAGTGAGAAATAGTTTCTGTTCAGGGTGGGGTGTTAGCAAAGGTTGTACCAGAGACAGACAAGGGACAGGATCATCTAATGCAGGTAGATAAAGAAGACAGAGAAGTGACAATGCTATGACTTTGGTTTTACTAAGACCCGAAATGTCACACTAATGCGGGAATCCAGCTTCTGAAGTCTGGACTGCTGGACAACGGAAGTTGGAGCTCTTGTACTTGGATGTTATTGCACCGATAAGGCCTTGATTAAGTTCTAGAACTAACATTAGGTTGTTGTTGTTGTCAGTTTCTGTTGAGTCAATTCTAACTCGTGGAAACCACATGGTGATTTATTCTTAGAAATTCTGATTGAATATCAAGGTAAAATTGGATCAACTTTACCAGCCAATCAGAATTATTAACCCTTAGTCTCAGGGTGTAATTGTGGGACATAATAACAGACTGGAAATTTGGAGAACAAATCTTCTTTATCCCAGGAAAGGTAGGAAAGGCAAGGAAACAAGCAGTGAAGTGAAACAATAAACTTTCACTGTAAATGCTCTGCTAGTCTTAGGAGATTTGCAGGCAGTACTGGACAGGAAGCCGAGTTTTCCCAGACATCTTTGGTCGTGTACTCAGGGTTGGGACTAAAGTAAGGTAAGTGAGGCTTGGGCACAAAATTTAAAGGGTGTCAGAAACTTCCACAATTAAGGTAAATCGTATTTTAATACAATGTTTGTAAAACTAATAATTAATGCAAAGAATCCATGATGAACAAGATACCAAAATTTTAAGTTAAAGCAGTGTTGTGCCAAGTCATATTAGAGCCTGAGGCAAAAGAAAAATATCAGTGTAATACTGATTCTGTCTTTATGTAAGATGTTGATATTCTGTTCATCATAGATTATTTCATATTAATTTTGATTTTTAAAAATGTTATATTAGATATTATTTTATAGTTTATTGGTCAATAGTAGTTTACTATTTTTTATAGTTTATTATTATTTCATAGTGCTGACTTAAATTTGGTATCTGAGACAAGTACCTCACTCACCTCACCCTAGTCCTGGCCCTGAGGACTGGTGGGAGGTGAGGAATAACAGCTAATTCCTTCCAAGGCCATGGTTTACTGAGTGCCAGTAAGCAGATGCACTGGCCCAGTCTCCTTCCCCATCACCCTCTGGAAGGAAGTGTTCAAGATCTTACACCTAGTTCCCACATCCTCAGCTATCAGCTCCTGGGCTCAAAAGTGGCCTTCCTTCAAAGCCAAGGCACGTACAGAGATGAATGGGTACCACACCCCTCTATGCCCAGGGTGGCTGGGCCTGGTGAGAGAGGGTGGTCGAGCACAACTCTGCTAATGAAATTAAAGCTAAACAATGAACACGGAGCAGTTGCTTTACTTATCCTGAATGTTGCCATGTGAAAAAACAAGTGTGTGAGAACGGAAGAGCTTTCCTAACGTGATGGAGAGGGCATTGGAGAGGCCGTCAGTTCAGGACACATTTTAAGGGAGATTCTCACCTGGAAATACAAAACAAGTGGGTTACACCTCCTCAGCCACCTCTACTCCTTCTCTGGGCCTAGGATGGTGGAGCATTCTTCTCAGAGTGCACATCCTGAGCTGCTGCTGGGTTGATGCTGGGCTGGAGTCTGCAGTGACCCGGGCTTTTCCTCATTGGGCTTTGGGTGGAAAAGGAACCTAATGTGCACAAATGGGCATAGCTGCCTCTGCCAGTCTTTTCTAAGTCTGTGGAGCAGGGAGTCTTTCCTCCAGCTTCCTAACTACTGCTACAGAAAAGGTTCCTTGATCTAGTGGCCTAAAGGTAGCTGTGGTTGAGCAATCTCAGGCAGCCAACCCTCCCAGGTTAGAAAGCACGTCTTCCACTGACCCCAGCAACCCTCGCTGTCACCTCTTGTGCAGGGATCACTCACCTTTGGGAATTCAGACAGGAATCTAGCAGGACACATATTTATTTTGTTTTGTTGATTTTGTTCATTTGTTTGCAACAAATTAGAAGATCACGCTTTGGAAACTTTTGGAAATATTTCTAATGGTGACCGTTGAAGACGCAAAAACTGTACTCACTGGTCCCTCCCTCATTTCCTTCTTTTCCTCCCTCATATTCTTCATTTTTTGTCTTACTTTTTCTTTTCTCACTGTTTCTTCCCTCTATTCCTTCCTTCCTACCTGGCTGCCTGCCTTCTATCCTTTTCCTTTTATCTGCTTCTTTCCCTCCCTCATTCCTACCTTCATTTCCTGCTCCATGCTATCTTCCCTTTCTTTATCCTTTTAACTAATATTTATTGTGTACTTACTATAAGCCAGGCACTGATCCAATGCGGACAGGGTATGTACAAAGATAAGCAGATACTAACACAGACCATACAAAGAGATAGATATTACTCTTCTTCCTAGTATCTGTATTAGGGTCAAGGGCTGCAGTACATAACTAAGGCAGCTGGAGAAGCCTTGGTCAATAAGAAAACAAAGAAGTTCTAGCACAGGGCGGGTACGTGTTCTGTGCCATGAGGAACCATTGCTGTCTGCCCCATCAACACTCGCTGCAGCCAGCTAGCCCAGCCGTTCACTCTCTCACTACCGCCTCAGTCTGTCCTCTTTTGTTCTATTCTCCACCTCCAGGGTCAATTCTCCTACCACAATCAAAGTGATCTTTCTCTAACATGCATTCACTCCCCACATCCCCACCCTCCCACATGGTTTCCTCTTGCACTTAATATCCAGACTCCTTATCCTGGCCTCAGGAGACACTCTGTGATCCAGCTCTGCTTACTTCTCCCACTTGGAAGGCAGTTCTCCTCTTACTCTACACACTCTGGCCACCCAGCCCTTCCTTCTGTTCCTTGAATATCACAGTAAAAACTGATGAACTTTGATACTCAGTCAGAATTCATTAGCCCTTCAATGAAGGCATGACTGTGGGACATAAAAATAGAGTGAAAACTTGGGAGCCAGCTCCTCTTTACCACTTTACCCCCAAGAAAAGCAGAATAGACATGGGAACAGCAGTGACTCTAAGCTCCTTCCTGCCTGAGAGAGCTCAGGGCCTCAGCACTTGCTGTTTCTTTTGCTGGAAGATGCTACCACCAGTCTCTGAATGGTTCCTTGATATCCCTGACATCTCAGCGCTATTTCCTCCTCTGAGGGGACGTCTTCCCTGACTACTCAATCTAAGCCAACCCCTATGCCACACCCCTCTCACAGGACCCTGGTTTATTGACTTCAAGATGCCTGTCAGTGTTTGGAATTGTCTTGCTCACTTGTGTTCATTTATTGGCTGTCTCTTCCCATCTCCCCCATATACACCGTGGTATCCTGGGACATGGCTGGGGTATAGTAAGGGTTCAGCACACTTTTGTTTAATAACTGCTCCCATTTATCCTAGATTATGATCCCTGAGCCCTTTAAAAACCAAAAAAACCATCGCCATCAAGTCGATTCCGACTCATAGTGACCCTATGAACAGAGTAGAACTGCCCCATAGGGTTTCCAAGGCTGTAATCTTTACAGAAGCCGACTGCCACATCTTCCTCCCACGGACTGGCTGGTGAGTGCAAACTGCCGACCTTTGGGTTGGCAGCTGAGCTCCTGACTACTGCACCACCAGGTCTTTTCCCTGAGCCTTTATTAGTTCCTAGTTCTGTCTGCTTGCCCATCTCCACCTACTCTCAGCCACTATCCCCACCTCCTCTCTTTCCTGGACCTCCCACATACCTGTCGCCTGAAATGTCCGGGGCCCGCTGTTAGGTATTGGGATTCTGTTGGACTGGGTTTGGTTTTGGATTCTCAGCCAAATGATTCCATGTAAAATCCTTTCCTATTCTTTTTTTTAACCTCAGGTGAAATTCACATAACATAAAATTAACCATTTTAAAGCGAACAATTCAGTGGCATTTAGTACATTCACATCCTTCCCCATTCTTTTTCTTATTGCACTCCAGGTGAAGGCCCACAGAACAAATAGCCTCTCACGAAACAGCAGCACACATACCATTCGATGACATCGGCCAACAACCCCACAACACGTCAACCCTCCCCCTTCTCGGCTCTCTCTTTTTGGTGAAAATACACATAGCCAAAGACACACCACTGCATCCTTCCCTGTTCTTAATGATAATTTTATTCATCCAACTTCTCTCATCTTTGAGTGTAGAAGGTCCATACTCTAAGAATCTAGTCTTAGATAACACCAACCCACTGAGTTTCCCGTGAATTCTGTCAGATTTAAGCTCTTTTCTGTCATCAGGATTTACGGTGAGTTGAGAAATATTAATTGCTAATGTATCATCACATAGCCACACTTATGTTATTGTTGTTGTTAGTTACTGTTTAGTTGACTCCAACTCTGGGTGACCTATGTATAACAGAATAGAATGCTGCCCAGTCCCATGCCACCCTCATGATCACCAGCATGCTTGAGTCCATTGTTGCCTTCTAATCTAGGGGGCTTATCTTCCAGCACTATATTGTTCTATGTCACAACAGAATATGTTTTCTGTTGTGATCCATATGGTTTTCATTGGCTAATTTTCAGAAGTAGATCGCCAGACGTTTCTTCCTACTCTGTTTTAGTTTGGAAGTTCCTCTGAAACTTGTCCTGCATGAGTTAGCCTGCTGGTATTTCAAATACCAGTGGCATAGCTTCAAGCGTCATAGCAACACACAAGCCACCTCACAGTACAACAAACCAGCAGATGGGTGGCATCCACACTGCCATCCATAATAGTTAATGTGCAATTTGGAAATGCAAAACCATTCTGTAGAGAATTTCTGATGCAGATTGCATCACACTAAAGACTACAGGTTCTCAGGCCTTAGCAAAGCTGGTTTTTATTGATCAGGCATTGTGCTAGTTATCTAATGCTGCTATAACAGAAATACCATAAGTGGATGGCTTTAACAAAAAGAAATTTATTTTCTCACAGCCAATGAGGCTAGAAGTCCAAAGTCAAGGTGCCAGCAGCAGGGTAAGGCTTTCTTTCTCTGTCAGTGTCTTAGTCATCCAGTGCTGCTCTAACAGGAATACCACAAGTGGATGGCTTTAACAAAGACAAATATATTTCTTCAGAGTAAAGCAGGCTAAAAGTCCAAATTCAGGGCATCAGCTCCAGGGGAATGCTTTCTCTTTCTGTCAGCCTTCTCATCAACGTTCCCCCGGACTAGGAGCTTCTCTACGCAGGGACCCCGGGTCCAAAGGACACGCTTTGCTCTTAGCACTGCTTTCGTGGTGGTATGAGGTCCCCCCTACTCTCTGCTTGCTTCCCTTTCCTTTTATCTCTTGAGAGATAAAAGGTGGCGCAGGCCACACCCCAGAGAAACTCCCTTTACATTGGATCAGGCATGTGACCTGGGTAAAGGTAGTGTTACAATCCCACCCTAATCCTCTTTAACATAAAATTACAGTCACAAAATGGAGGCTAACCACACAATTCTGGGAATCATGGCCCAGCCAAATTGATACACACATTTCTTGGGGGACATAATTCAAACCATGACAGTCAGTTCTCTGGGAAGGTCCTTGTCATCAATCTTCCCTTGGTCTAGGAGCATCTCAGAGCAGGGACCTCAGGTCCAAAGGACATGTTCCACTCTCGGCTCTGATTTCTTGGTGGCATGAGATCCCCCTGTCTCTCTGTTTGCTTCTCTCTTTTATATCTCAAAAGAGATTGAGTCAAGATGCAACCTAATCTTGTAGATTGAGTCCTGCCTCATTAACATAACTGCCTCTAATTGTGCCTCATTAACATCATAGAGGTAGGATTTACGACACAGGAAAATCACATCAGATGACAAAATGGTGGACAATCAC